TCGTTCTTATGTGTTGACATTAACTCACGATCACAGTTTGTCAGGTCATTTGGGCATTACAAAAACATACCACCATATTTTACGTCACTTCTTTTGGCCCGGTTTAAGATCAGACATTGTGAAATACTTTTGGTCATGCCATTCCTGCCAGATTTTATATCAATAAATTCATATTAACTATGTGCTCTGACACTCGTTTCCCTAAGACTGTGCCTTTACGTACCATAAAAACTAAAGGAATTCTGCGAGCTCTAATGAAATTCTTTTCTACTTTCGGTTTACCAAAGGTGGTGCAGACTGATCAGTGCACTAAGTTTATGTCTCGGTTTTTCAGACTAGCATTATCACAGCTCAATATAAAACATGAAGTCTCTAGTGCATATCATCCAGAATCACAAGAGGCTCTAGAACGGTTTCACCAAAGCTTAAAGTCAATGTTGTGTACCTTTTGTGTTCAGACAGAAAAAGAACGGGATGAGGGCTTACCCCTATTATTGTTTGCTGTGCGTGAGACTCAGCAAGAATCGCCTGGCTTTAGTCCTGCCAAACTAGTTTGGTTTGTGAGAGGTCTGTTGAAGGGGAAGTTGTGGCCTAATGGTTAGAGAGTCGGGCTTGTAACCTGAAGGTTGCCGGTTCGATTCTCGCACTGGCAGGAATTGAAGGGGATTGTGAGTGAACAGCACACTCATCCACCTTTGATACCATGCCCTTGAGCAAGGCACCGAACCCCCAATTGCTCCCCAGGCAATGGCTGCCCGTTCCTCCGGGTGTGTGTGTGTGCGCGCACTTGGATGGGTTAAATGCAGAGAACCAATTTTGAATATGGGTTACCATACTTGACAACACGTCATGACTTTCACTGTTCTGTTGAAAGAGTATGAAATGATGACTGCAAATCAAGTGACCCTGTTAATATCTTGGATTATGTCAGTTCATTCCGTGAACGTTTGCATCGAGTATGTGAATTAGGTCGTGCCTCCATGGCATCTGTTTAAAAGAAAATGAAAACACGATTTGACAAAAAAGCTGTTTTACATTCCTTTAAACAGGGCGACATGGTCTTGGTTTTGCTCCCTGTCTCTGGATCAGCCTTACAGGTGAAATTTTCTGGCCCATATGTGATTGATGCCAAACTTAGCGAAACGGATTATATTGTCGATACACCTGACCACAAGAGGAAAACTCGCGTCTGTCACATAAATATGTTGAAGTCCGAGACGGAGAAATGAAATGTTCTGTCACTTCTGCTGCACCTGTATCTGTTGTGACTGCTCCTGAGTGTTCTGAGGTAAATGGTTAACCATACGAAGTGTCTTTGTTACTGGTGCTCGCTCACAAAACTCTGAGATTCTTAAAGATTTAACGTCTCATTTGTCATATCTGGTTGAAAGACCTCGAGCAGATATTTTTAAGCTAATCTAGTCATATTTAAATTTGTTCTCTGATGTGCCATCCAAAACTGCTGATGACATTGATGTGGGAGACCATCCACCAATTAAGCAGCACGCTTATAGAGTGAACCCGATTAAGCGTCAGGTAATGCAGGATAAAGTGAAGTACCTGCTTGAAAATGGGTTGGCTGTCCCAAGCTGCAGTGCCTGGAGCACTGCCCATTTTTGTACTGATTATAGAAAAGTCAATGCCATTACAAAACCAGATTCTTTTCCTTTGCCTCGTATGGAGGATTGTGTAGACAGGGTGGGGTCAGCTACTTTTGTGTTGAAGCTGGATTTACTTAAGGGAAAAAGTCAGGTGCCCTTGACTTTCTTTTGTAACGCCTGACAACCTCCTACAGTACACCGTGATGGCGTTCGGACTGCGAAACGCTCCTGCCACGTTTCAGCGTCTGATGAACAAGGTCTTGGCCGGCATCCCTAATTGTGATGCGTATTTAGATGGTATTATTGTGTATTCTTCTGACTGGAATGAGCAGTGGCGGACTGGGACAGTAAATCAGGCCGGGAATTTGACTCCACCCCAGGCCACCTCTGTTGCTGTAAGGTTCTCTTGACTGAGGGAGGTTCTCAGACGGTTCTTCACTAACTTCAGGGTGGAGAAGGTCCTCTCACAGGCAACCTGAGTAATAGATAGTGTGAGGAGGAACTTGTAGCCCAAACCAATGATGTGATAAGCATCAGTAAGCAGATTGTACTGAGACAAGAGGAGATAGCAGCATATTGAACAGTTTTTGCATGTG